AGAGAAGAGAAAGGAGTGACGGGGACGGTCGGCTCGGACGATCGGCGGCACGAACAGCGGCTCCGGGTCGACGGGAACACCGGCTAGACGTGCGGTGAGGCGCGCGGCGGCGAACGGCGGCGCGGTGGAAGACACGCGCGCGGAAGGGTCGGGAAACGAGATCTGGAACAGAGGGGGAGACCAGCCGGTTGGGGCGGCGACCGCGCGGACGACGGCGCGGCGGTCGAGCTAGTTGTCGACGGCGGCGACGTGCGGCGGCTGTGCGAGCTCGGGCGGTCGGCGTCGGCGAGCGGGAGATGGAGCGAAGCAGGAGGAGCGTAACGTGATGCGGGAGGAAGGAGGAAGAAGAAGAAAGAAGGGAGAAGGAAAGGAGAGAGAAGAAGAGAGAGGAGAGAGAGAAGGTATGAGGAAACAAATGAGCGTGAGGAGACACGTGGAGGGGGCCATCGTGCGCAGCAGAGGGGGAGGAGAGAGAGAGAAATAGAATAAGAAATAATTTGAACATTCAAATATTATTTGCAAACCGATGGTCCAAATTCAAAACCGAAAATGATCTACCGATCCAAAATAAGCCTCGCATATAAAAATGGACAAAGGCCGAATTAATTAAATCAAACTATAGCGAGAGAGGTCTACTAGTCCAAATTCGCACCCGGTCAAAAACTCCCCTTTTCCATTATTCCGACAATCTCAACGGCGCTACGATAATATTGACACCGTCCAATTTATTTCGTCTCGAAACTCCCGAAAATCGATCGCCAAGTTCGGGGTCTAAATAACGGCCAAATTCGATCGAGCGCGATTCTAGCGAAATCTCAATTTTAAAACAATAACCGAGAGTGATCAGTTCCCGGGCGAGATTTTACTATAAGCACACTGACGAATTACACGTTTTATAAATCCCAACTATGGGCCGAAATTCGGAATGTCACAAATATGCGTTCTTCTTATTTTCATTTTCCGTTTTTTTATTTTTTCCCTTCTTCTCCTTCTTCCCTGTCCTGACAGCACCGCCGTCAACAAGGCACAGTTGCCGACGGCCACCATCCGTTGCCACTTCAGGCGTCGCCACACCACCCTCTGCTATGTTCATCCCATCTCTCCACCCCGCCACCCCGCACACCCCCCCCCCCCCCCCTCTCTCTCTCTCTCTCTCTCTCTCTCTCTCTCTCTCTCCTAAGTCCTGTGACCTCCTCCTTGAGAGGCAAGGAGCCTCTTCAAGATGGCGGTGCAATAGGAAGCAATGACGCTAGCAGCAAACGATGGCGGTGTTTAGTAGGCAAGGAAGAGAGTGGAGACAGTTTTGGAGATTAGGGATGGCTATGGAAAACTAGTGATTTAGAAACTATTTTTCTAACTTTGTCCGTTCTTATTATTTAGGAAAATGAGCCAATGAAAAATACTTTCATTCATTAACAATTATCTATCACTGAAGAATTTGTGTAAGTGTTTCTAAAGTGTAAGGGTGCGTGTAGGTGTTCGGCCTCACGCAAAAAACATTTAAACACTTTTTTTTGGGCATTTGGTCCTTCAACTGATAAGAAATCAAGGAAATGATTCCACACTTGAAATTATACAATTTCATTTATCTACAAAATAGAAATATTCTTCTTTAGAAATGATGATTTCACAAAAGAAAAAACACAAATCTTTCCCCACTTGTTTCAACTATATATATTGATTGGACTCATTTGCTCTTATTACTCATCCATAAACCCCATGAGGATTCTTGATATGTACAAACACAGTAATATCATCTACCCAATTGGGTAGGTAATCAAAGAAGTCCAGGTTGCCTTTTTTGCTTCGACCATTTCAAAGTAGCAGGATTTACTTATATGTAATCATCATAATTTTTTATTTTGAGGAACGCCATAATTTGTCAGTTTTACTTTAAAGTATACATAAGTTATTCTAAATGAACTAAAAACCATAATGTAAAATATATTTTCGAAATATTTAAAATTATCAGCTTTATTTTATATTAAAACTAAGTAAATTTCTTTATTAGGTACAATTTATTCACTTAAATAAGAAATACTTTAAATTTTAAATAACTTTATATTAACAATATATTCTTTATTTATTTTTTACATTTTAATTAAATAATATATGTCTGTCTAACATTTTTTAATTTTATATTGGCAAATTTTTTCCATTAAGAACGTGATTATACGTTATTCATTACTTACTTAATCAAATAAGCTATACTTCAAATTAGAAACACTTTTAATATTTTTTTTTATCATAATATATAAAATTTTGAAATTTATTTAGGGTTAAGTGTAATTTATTCATTCAATGAAGTAAGCTCTACGCAAATTATGAATGATCTACTTATAAATTAGATATGATATCACTGTTTTTACTTTTCATATTAATTTAATTAATATCTATTAGATGTCCTTGAGTTTATTGCCATAATTTTCTTTTCAATATAAGTTACATAAGTGGTAAAAAAATAAGTTCCATAATTTAGGAGTATTTTTGAAGATATTTTCTCTTTACCGGTTTAAACTCAATAAGAAATAGTAGTATGGAAATGACAAATAACCTAAAGCTTATTGTTTTATGTGTACCGCACAACAATGGCACGCGTGAAGTCCAGGGCGACGTGGCAAGGATAAACAAAAATATTCTGTCAATTTCGACTTTAACTACGTAACTTTTTTCGACTGTATGATATATAACGCCGTGGTAAATTGATCCTTTCCGGTAGTTTAGCTTTACCATGGTGAATTGAGCAACTTTCTTGAGGATCATAAGATTTTAATTGTGTAACTCGCTGATAAAAGAAGCTTTAATATTGCACCGTTAAGAATAATTAGTTGACTGGTTGTCTAGTAAAATTCAATGAATCCAGTTGTTGATAAAAACAAGATACTTAGAATGAAAAGGAGAGTGAAGCTAAGCTTTTGGCAACAACCGAAAGAAGCTGGCAATGATTGAAATTGATTCAGTTAAAATCAATCAAAACAGTTGTGTTTCCCCTATTCTATCATCTTCCTCCTGATTTCCATTATCATCTCCATTATGATCATTTTCTCTACCTTGTCTGACCTGACAACTTTGCTTCGCTTCGATATCTTGACGCAATCATTATGGGCCGTGCGAAGAGAATTGCCGACCCCTTGAATTGTGAGACCTCATGTCTTTATATAGTGAAAACCTAGATTTATTCCCAATTAGCCGGGCTAAATTTAGGCCTTAATAAAGTGAGGGCTCTAATGACATACGGCCTTTTATCAATTAAACTTTAATGGGCTGAATTAGACTCAATTAAGCTCAATGAGGTCCCTCCTGCTTTATGAAATGCGGCCATTGTGATCCTATGAAATTGCCATCTCCTGTGACTCAGTCCAATCCATTTAAGTTCAAAACCATTTACCACCAGTCTGATTAAAATGCAATGAATTTATTAATATGCTGAATGCTCCTAAAAATATTGTTTAGGGGTTGAAGTTGGTTCCTGATTTTCTATACAATGAACAATTAAATGGATCACCAAAATTTAGGTCTCAAGAAATAGACCGACTCTGACAATAAAAAAAGGAAATTAGAGAAAAAAAGAAATTTTTTTTTATAAATTTCCTCATTGAGCTATTTGCTTAAATTATAAATACAAAGATTTTTGAATAATGCTTAGCTAACGGTGTCCTTAGCTTGGAAACGATACGGTCAAATCTCAGCCAAGCATTTTCCATCTTCAAAATGGGAGACTGGTGAAATGTTAACACTTTTCCTATTTTATATATAAAAATGCATTTTCCATGTAAAAAAAGCCATAAGAAGATGTCGATTTTCTTGTCTTATTCGAAGAAACAAATCAAAGTGATAATATTCAAACAAAAAGAAATATATGAAAAACTCAGTTGCAACTTTTAAAATAGTGAATATTATTCTCTGGCCAAAGAAAAAGATTAGGTGGCTATTGTTCCCAAATTAAAAAAAAAACTTAACAACCCAAAAAAATATTAATATAATTATCTTGTATACTTTGAACTTCCAATTACTGTAGAATTTTGTAATCGAATAAGTCATAACTGTGGAGAAAGGTTCGTTAATTTCTGCTTCCTTGTTTGCAAGAAAGTAAGAGGTATTCATTGTCGTTGAAAGGAATGAGAATCATTTCATTACGCAAATATTTCGTTATTAGCTGTTTCAAGTGTTTTTTCATCTTTTAAATTTAATAAATCTATATAATGACATTAACGATTTCTTTTTCATAAGTGACAATATTTTTCTACTTGTAATTATTTATATTTTGGTATCTCATTAATTTTTTGTTATGACTATTGTGAAATTATAACGAAATTAAAACTGATAAGAATAAAGAACGCATAGATTTACGGGGAAAACCTTTGCGAAAAAAATCACAGGGAGAGGAAAAACAAAATCTACTATAGAAATTCGAGGATTACAAAAAGTGGCTAAAAAATTAAAGACTCTTTTTGTCTCAACTTCTTAACCTAATAACTTAAAAAAAAAAAATATTTGTACTGCTCTCAAGTCCTAACGTTGGCCTGAGCCCAAAATTTAAGACACACTAAACATTTTTTCTTTCTTCATTTTCAAGAAAATCGATTCTATGGGCCTTCTCATGATTTTGTTTCTCAATATGAGCTTGCAATAAGGAAATGTAGAAATCCAAAAAAAAGAAGAAGCATTGAGTCAAGAATTGAAACCAATTTCCTTAAAAATAATTTGTGGGTGTCCTTTGACCGCGAGTCATTTTGCAGTGGACGGTCAGGCCAGCCGCACCCAAGATTTTTTATTGCTTATTTAGGGAGACAATCTTATATTTGTGCAACCGAGAAAGTAAATCCAGGTGTATATATCTCACATGAGCTGTATATCCGCAATTAATGTGGCCATATCCAAAATTTCCCCACAAGCAAAATCCATGCATTAATAATTGCAACACCAAGAAGTATAGTTACATAAGAGAAGGATATCAAAACTCATTCGAAGAAAATTATATTATGCTAATGGCTACTACAATGACATCATCACATTTCTTTTTCCTTATACTCTGCATTATCATTTCGTCGTACCCAGCTAATGTCGCTTCGTCCAAGACCACCCCAATTAAACCTTGGGGAATAGCCATCAAGCTCATCCACCATGATTCTATTCAATCTCCATATTACAATCCGAAGGTCACCATCTTCGAGCGAGCTGAACTTGCCATTAATGGTTCGCTCGCCCACATCCGCTCCTTGAGCAAAATAATTGCTACTCCAAATGATGACGGCGTTCGCGTCGGTCTCATCCCTGCCATTGGCCTACACGGTTTCCTTGCCAATATATCCATCGGTACGCCGCCGGTCCCGCAACTCGTGCAAATCGACACGGGAAGTGATCTCTTTTGGTTTCAGTGCCTGCCCTGCACTACTTGCTTCAAACAATCTCCTCCTCTTTTCGATCCCGCCAAATCGTCGACGTACTCCAATATTCGTTGCGGTTCCCAAGCTTGCGTACAATCTGGTGACAAGTGCGATCCTAATAATGAGTATTGCATTTACGAGAGGTCGTATTTTGACAAATCCACCTCAGCCGGTAACCTCGCCTCCGAACAAGTGACCTTTGAGACATCCGATGAGGGCACGGTATAGGTGCAAATTGAGGTGTTCGGATGCGGCCACGTAAATAAAGACGCTACGGAAGGGCAAGAAAGCGGGTTATTAGGACTAGGCGTTGGTGATGGTAATTTGCCAAATCTGGTTAAACAATTAGGCTCCAAATTTTCTTACTGCATCGGCAACATAAACGACCCGCAGTATCAATACAATGAACTCAGCTTGGGGAACGGGGCGATCATGGAAGGTGATTCTACGACTCTGGAGACTTACAGGGGTTTATACTATTTGGACCTCCAAGGTATTAGCGTCGGAGAGAAGAAGCTACAGATCGACCCCTTGGTATATTCAAAAGAGGGCTTATGGGTCAAGGAGGAGTGATTATAGACTCGGGAACCACGCTCACGCCCCTGAAGGAAGAGGTGTACGTTCCACTGCAAAATGAGGTCGAGAGTTTGATGGCAGGAAAGCTGGAGAGGGTGAGTAATCCCGAGTTCTTTTGCTACGCAGGGAACGTGGAGAGAGATTTAACGGGATTTCCTATCGTCACCTTGCAATTCTCGGGCAGCGCGCAACTCGGCTTAGACACCAACAGCATGTTTGTCCAGTTAACGGCGGATGTCTTGTGCATGGCCATCATTAAGTCACCACCTGATATGAACGGTTTATCCTGTTGGATGTTTGTTTGTAAAACAAACAAAACAATGCCTTTTCCTTTGTCCCACATAGGAAAGTTTTGGGTAAGTGGGCCAATTTATAACTGTGGGTGTCTTCTTACTCCTTAGAGTGAAGACAATGGGGTGTGTGCTAGTCCACACAATACCCTCGTGCGGGTGCGCGATTATTAGCTCTAATCCCTTTATTTTTTATTTTATTTCGTAAGGTTATCTCCTTAATCTTTATTAGTTGAAAGGTTGTTTTTTGTTTATTAAATAATTTTCGAAATTATGAAAATTCGGAATTTTATTTATATATTTATTTTATTTTATTTTATTCCGAATTTTATATGTGTCTTTTCAAGACAACTTTCGGAGATTATACTTGTTCAGTTTTCAACTTTTTCCGAAGGGTTGCATTTGTTCAGTTTGCAACTTCTTCCGAAGGAATATCTTTATTAGCTTTGCAACCTTTCGTGAAGAGTTGCCTATGAAGACCGATTTCTATATATGTCAATTTTTGGCAAGAAGGAAAAATCAATCAATTTTTCAAGTCTTCTTTCGAAAAACTACAGCCATCATTTTCAATTGTTTCCTAGAGAGATCCTGGAGAAATACTAGAATTGCTATATAGTATTCTTATTTTGAGATTTTATTGTATCCTGGAGGATTTTTGCCGGTGACCATTAGCAACAATTGTGGGGCAAATAAATCCTTAAGGAAAGTGATATCACGCCTCAAAGTCCGACTTGATTGCTCTCTTTATTCGAAGCCATTCAAATTTTACAACATATCCGTTATTGGAGTGCTGACACAACAGTCCTATAATATAGGGTATGACATCAAACAGGGCAAGATTTTCTTCCAAAGGATTGAGTGCAGTGCTCTCCAATCACTTGTATGATCACATACGATTAAAAATATTCTAGCGATACGGTATCGATGTATTCGATATTTTCTTGAGTAAAAATAAGAAAGGGGATAGGAATGACTTTTTTGTGCAAGGAGTTACTTTGAGAGCCATTTCTCCAAAGAAGATATTTGAGTTCAGATTTATGTTTAACCGAGAGACTTTATAAAATCCCTGAGTTGCATCAATGAACGTCCGAGTCTAGATTTGATTGAGTTTAGTGTCTTCGCTGGCTTCATTTGTCTATTTCTATTACATAAGCTGTAGTCGATTTCTGTTTGTCCTCGTTAGAAGCAAATCTGGTAATTGCTCACTCCACAGTTTATTTCTATTACATAAGCTGTAGTCGATTTCTGTTTGTCCTCGTTAGAAGCAAATTTGGTAATTGCTTAGTCCACGGTTTATATGAGACGAGCTTGAATTTGCATATTGATGAACTTGGCCGCGAAACATCTGAACAAAATTGGATCCATCCTGATGGGCGTTAACGCTTGTATGCTTTGGATTTGGTTGAGAAGCATTTGTAGTTGATATGATCGTGCTGAGATTTGATGAGATTCTGTGTTTGTATGTAAAACATGGTTTGGTAGTGAGGAAAATAAGACTTAGATTTATGAACGGAATTCATTGATTCATTGATTGACTCACTGGTTGAGGAATGTATCTGCATCTTCAAAAGAGAAACATGTAAGGGTACAACAGATGGGGGCAGAGAATAGTGAAATAGTGAAATGTGTGACGGTTGATTGCGCTTTCTAAGCTAGTTGTTTGTCATGGTGTTGCTTGTTTTTTTTTTTAATTATTTTAGCGCTAAACCATTCTCTGTTTTTTTAACGTGATATGGTGTTGCTGGTGCAAACAATAATTTGGTCATGCTTGGTGGGGAACTGACTTCTGATTATGATCCTCTTTGGCCTTGAGATACTTGAATTAACATTTCAGGTGTGTTTGTTTGAGTAAAAGTGTTTTCCGAAAATTAATTTTCCTGACTTTTCGCCGAAAATGACTAGTCATCCGAAAATACTTTTCGATCAACAAAAATATTCTCATATAAAATTAGGAAGGTGAATTCCTAAATCTTAAAAAGTCAAAACACTATCCGAAATTGTTTCTCTTTCCCGAGTTGACTCAAAACCGACTCGTCTCTCTCTTCTCTCAGCAGCAGAGCCTCGTGCTTTGCCACCGCCTCCTTGCAACTCCCACTTCGGACAATTATAATTTTGGATGACAATTTTGCTTCTGTTGTTATGGTTGGTAATCGACGATGGTCTATTGTGGTATTCTGCCTAAATTTAATTAAAAGAGGAATTTAGCATGTTCATGACAGTGTTGTCGTGTAATTGAATTTTTTTGAAAGGAGGTATCAAGCGATGGCACTTAGTTATATTGGAGCTTGAGTACATAAGTTACATGGAGAGTTTTCTTTCTGGAAAGATGTGTACTGATTTGACTGGATATACATTGGTATTGTGCATCTTTACTTGACTTGGGTACCTAGCTAGTCTAGGTTCCTTAAACAAGTACTCCACAATACTAAAATTTCACCTGCACATATGGAAATTTTTCTGATTTGTAAAACTGCAATGGAATTGGGTCTTGGCAAATCTTTTTTCTTACTTATTGCGTAGTTGAATATTCGATCCCACGTGTCAACTTAATGATTTCGATTATCAGGGGTTATGATTTTGAATCTGGGGTTGATTAATCCTTAGAAAGTGCAGTGGTGGTTGACAGACTTCAAATTACCTGTGGAACGTAGGCTGTCACGGGGGGAAGATCACTGTATGCAAAAAATTCAGAAATTTATCCAGTTTCAGCTTACAGTTAATGTTGCAGCTCTTATTATAAACGTTGTTGCTGCTGTTTCCTCGTGTGATGTTCCACTGAATGCAGTGCAGGTACGCTCTCTCTCGGTCTCTCTCCCTCTCTCTCTCTGGTGCAGACCTCCACATGATATTTGCTTTCTTTAGTTCTGAACTTTTCTCTTTGCTTGCAGCTTCTCCGGGTTAATCTTATCATGGACACCCTTGGAGTATTAGCACTGTCTACCGAGCCTTAATCTTATCGTGGACACCCTTGGAGCATTAGCACTGTCTACCGAGCCTCCAACTGACCACCTTTTGCATAGGCCTCCAGTCAGTAGGAGATAAGAGTAACTGGTTTTTATTGGGTGCAATATAATTTTGGTCACAAGCTTGGAGATCATGTTTTTATGGTCAACTCAAATTCCCTGTTTCTTTAGATCTGTATCGCAATTTATTCACTTGCTTGAACCTGTTGTTTATCCTTACTCTTTGACTATGCCCTGACTGGGTGATTTTCTCAATTGCAGAGAACCTCTTACTACAAATATCATGTGGAGGAATTTATGGATACAGATATGGCCACTAAGGCTTTACACGAAAGAGTTTTTGCTGGCTTTTTTCTCCTAACAATGTAGAGTTTGGATCTTTAGGCTGCCTATCAAGTGAGTGTCCTGCTTGTCCTCAGTTTCCGAGGTAGAAGCTTACTGAATTTGAAGTATGATACAAGCGATCGTGCTAACAAAGTGAAGACCACTGTTCAGATAATAGTAACACTGACTTGACACATAAGTCGATCAGCAAGCTGTTCACATTCAATTCTTTCAAACATCTTCCCTTGAGCAATGTCGTACCCGAAATTGTGATGTTGTTGAGCTTGTTGTTCCTGATGGTGGATCGAGTTTCCACTTTTGGCCGTGGGACTGAGGAATGCCACACCATATTTGACATGAACGAGAACCTTACGCGAAGAACAACCTTGTTCGACATAAATGAGCAGCACTCGCCCAATCTTTTTCAACCCCTTGATCTTGATGCGGCTTAGTTTTTGCCGTTTGCGCCATCTGATCGATAGCTCTTCTCAGTATGGAAATGGCTCAAAGAAGAAGCGATTGACTAAGCAGAGAGTGTGCCTAGTTTTGGATTCTCCCTTTCCATTTTTAACCGATCCTCTCCTTTCTGTTTTCGCAGAGGGCTCCTTTGGGTTTGCTTCGGACATGTACAATGATCACTTGTTCAAATCTTCAACACCTTGATCTTGACCCTGAAACTCGCCTCGCCGCCCACAATGAACAGACAGACAAGAAAAAGAGAAAAAAAGAAACGAAAACTACAAATTATATTTAAAAAAAATTATGCAAGTCAATGCAATAATCGGGGATTAACGTACAATACTCACAAGGAGCGAACCCTAGGCTCTGATACCATGTCGAAGAATAGTTTTTTCTCTATTGAATCATTCTGTATAGAATTACAATCTTTCTTATATACAATACAGGGGATAACCCTAGCATCTCAATAAATTAGGAAAAAATAAAAAAATCTCTATTTTGTAGAAAATACAGCTCAGGCCAACAGAAATATGGTATAAATAGGATACTTCATTCTTGTAAATGGGCGTGTGAGGTTTAGACCTCCACCAGCATCGAGTGCGGGGAGCATGTACTGAAATGCATATCCCTTAGTTCCCTTGCCATTCCAACTACATCGTTTGTACTTCATATTAAATTATGCAACTATATTTCCATATCCCATAGCCTACTATCCCTTGAATACTCATCCATATACCTTGCCCCTTGTTGACTCCTGAGTCAGCTATACTATACACATATAAACTTGCACACACTCAAACCACAAACTATCATTGAAATTAAAAGGGATAAGTGCACTACAAGTCCTAAAACTTGTCACAAAAGTGCATTTGAGTCCTAAAACTTACAAAAAGTGTAATTGAGTCCTAAAACTTATCAAATTGATTCAATCGAGTCCTAAACTTAACACCGTTAAATTTACTAACGGAAAACGCTGACGTGGCGCTGATGTGTCATATTTTAATACTTTTATTGAGACACGTGGCGTCCAACAAGCGCCACGTCAGAAAAAGTTAAAAAAAAATGTAAATTAAATTAGAAAAAGCTATAAAAAAACAAAAAAAAAATGGAAAAAAAACCCTAAACCAGCAGCTGCGGCAATGGCCAAGCCCTCGCCGATGGCCGCCGCCACAGCCGCCGGGAAGGACCGGCGGAGGTCACCTGGGCCTTCCCGAAGCCCGGCGACCCTCTCTGGCCCCGGGCAAGTCCCCGGCGAGGGCCTGCAGCCCTCGATCTGGGGGCGGGCGCGACCTTCACCCCAGATCTGAGCGAGGGTCGCCGGCCCTTGCCTGGGGCCGGCGCGAATCGGCGAGGCCTCGCCCAGGGTGGGCGACCCCAGGCGAGTCCCCAGTGAGGGTCTGCAGCCCCTGATCTGGGGGAGGGCGCGACCCTCGCCCCAGATCTGAGCGAGGGTCGCCGGCCCTCGCCTGGGGTCGGCGCGGACCGTCGAAGCCTCGCCCAGGGTGGGCGACCCCAGGCGAGGTCTCGCCGGCCCTCGCTTGGGGCCGGCGCGGACCAGCAAGGCCTCGCCCAGGGTGGGCGACCCTAGGCGAGGCCTTGCCGGCCCCCGGCGACCCTCGCTCAGATCTGAGGCGAGGGCTCCCCCAAATCGGGGGCTTCATGTCGTCGCCGGGGACCGGTGGGGAATCGCCCGGGGCCGGCGAGGGTCGCCGGGCTTCGGGAAGGCCCAGGCAACCTCCGCCGGCCCTTCCCGGCAGCTGTGGCGGCGGCCACCAGCGAGGGCTTGGCCACCGCCGCAGCTGCTGGGTGGGGTCTCCTTTTTTTTTTCATAGCTTTTTTCTAATTTAAATTTAAATTTTATTTTTGCTGACGTGGCGCTTATTGCACGCCACATCATTGCCACGTGTCCCAATAAAAGTAATAAAATATGACACGTCAACGCCACGTCAGTGTTTTCCGTTAGTAAATTTAACGGTGTTAAGTTTAGGACTTGATTGAATCAATTTAACAAGTTTTAGGACTCAATTGCACTTTTTGTAAGTTTTAAGACTCAAATGCACTTTTATGACAAGTTTTAGGACTTGTAGTGCACTTATCCCAAATTAAAATCATCCTTCCGCACAATCTAAATTCCAACATGTAGGAATAGAAAGAGTAAATGTGGAATCTTACCTGGAAAAACTTATCCCACAACTCCTTGAAAGGTAGTGAAGTGGGACTCAAAAACATCAAGGCTATTTTCGGGTTCATTGTTTTAAGTGGAGGAGTGTTTAGTATGTTCATGGTCACAACACATGATACCAGCTCTTCATCAGTGTATTCCCTTGCAGGACGCCAATCTGGAAAAGTGTGGTAAAAAATGGAAGAAAACATGCGGGCAAGACTGTGTCTGGGAGGATATATGGACGCGAAAATCAAGTACATAATCCTCATTGCAAATCCCACTATAGTGCACATCATTTTCTTCAACGGAAGACGAGGGCGATTGCCCGCCAAAATTTGGACACAATCCATACCGGATCTCCAACCTTCAGCTGTTTCCATCAAGAAAACTAGATTAATTCATCAAAGCTTTCCCATAAAATGTTCATCCAGAAACATTCAAAAATCTAAACATTTCGCAAACATCACGTGAGACACACTCCATCCAATCCTCGGAATAGTTCACCCTTCCAAAATCAAAGTAACGGAAAAGGAACCACAATACCAGGACAAATGGGGAGGCTCAACACCACTGCGAGTTCGGTTGATGTATAAATGGAACAATAATCATTGGGAACCAAAGTTTAAACAAAACCAAAATAATTCAGAAAACGAAGTATCCAAATAAAAAACAGCGCGCAGCTGACTAGTCGACCCTGTTGTGGGGGTGAATTAGCCAAATTTGAGAACGTTGGCAAGTATTGCAGCATTTTATTTCCAGTTGGTCCTTGAATTTTCTACTTTCATAAGATGCCACAACCATTCCAACACAATTATCTTGCCATACCAAATTCGACAGTGTCAAAAACATTCCGACACAATTTTTGCTATACAAAATACAGCAGTGTAATTTAAACAACGGTGACATATCCTTGGTGCATCTCATTGCTTCCTACATAGCCTAAATTGCGTCTTGTGCGGTGCAGATGGAGATAGACAGTTGGATAGGGAATGCAGCTAATGCCTTATGGGTACGCATATTAGTCAGGCCAGGCAAGATGTTCACCCCAAATTTCATTTGTCCACTCTTTTTTTCAAATCTACAAGGAGCATGATGAAGTTAAGGAGGGGTGGACTCACAATAATATTATGAAAGCGGCATCTCATAAAAATTGCGACTTGATAGGTACCGAATAAAAAAGACGAACCGGAAGTGAGAGGGGAGACAATACCTCGGATGGGTTTTCTTCAAGCTTGAAAAAGGCGAAGAAATTCGCAGACTTTCGAGCTCCAATGCAGGAAAAAATCAGGGTTTGTAAGCGAAACCAGATTGCATCCTTCATTGTTCCTGATGGTGGATCGAGTTTCCACTTTTGGCCGTGGGACTGAGGAATGCCACACCATATTTGACATGAACGAGAACCTTCCGCGAACAACAACCTTGTTCGACATAAATGAGCAGCACTCGCCCAATCTTCTTCAACCCCTTGATCTTGATGCGGCTTAGTTTTTGCCGTTTGCTCCATCTGATCGATAGCTCTTCTCAGTATGGAAATGGCTCAAAGAAGAAGCGATTGACTAAGCAGAGAGTGTGCCTAGTTTTGGACTCTCCCTTCCCATTTTTAACCGATCCTCTCCTTTCTATTTTCGCATAGGGCTCCCCTGGCTTTGCTTCGGACATGTACAATGAGCACTTGTTCAAATCTTCAACACCTTGATCTTGACCCTGAAACTCGCATCGCCGCCCACAACGAACAGACAGACAAGAAAAAGAGAAAAAAAGAAACGAAAACTACAAATTATATTTAAAAAAATTATGCAAGTCAATGCCGTAATCGGGGATTAACGTACAATACTCACAAGGAGCGAACCCTAGGCTCTGATACCATGTCGAAGAATAGTTTTTTCTATATTGAATCATTCTGTACAGCATTACAATCTTTCTTATATACAATACAGGGGATAACCCTAGCATCTCAATAAATTAGGAAAAAATAAAAAAATCTCTATTTTGTAGAAAATACAGCTCACGCCAACAGAAATATGGTATAAATAGGATACTT